GAAGAGAATGCTCACAGTTAGAACTGGGCTAATTAGCAAATATTAAGAGTTTCTACCCTTGAAGGAGACACAGATTTTTTGGACTAGACACAATACATATAAAATTTAAAAAATTAAATTGACAACTGAACTTCATCAAAATTGGAATTCTGTTTTCAAATGATATCCTCATGAAAATAAAAAGGTAAGCCACAGACTGGAAAAAAATATAACGACATAAGACCTGTACCCAGAAGCAAAAAATAAAAAGTGTTTCTAAACTGTGATTTATTCTGGGTTTTTGCTGCAACATTCCCATGGGTTATTAATAGGGCATCAAGGTTCACACCCTGTGAAAAAAATAGATCACAGCACACCTAATATGTTACAAACACCAATCAGAAACTTCCGGCTTCTCCTCAACATTCTCAGTGTAAAAATAAACAATGTAAATGCCTAAGTGGATAAAGGGTTTCAGGCAGGGGACACCTCCAGTCTGAATTGAAATGTATCACATCCTCCTTTTATTTTTATTTCAAAGAACCATTAAATAATAAGTGTAGTGAAAGGTCAATGGGCAAAGCGTTAACCCCTCTTTGTGCTGCAACTTGAATCACAGAGAGAAGCAGCCACAGGAAGCTGCTGGTCTTTCAACTACTTACCTCTTACCTCACCACAAAGAGGATTAAAACCATATAATGCCCATGTGCCTCATTCCTAAAGAATTACTTCTCTCTCTCTCTCTCTCTTCTTAATCCTCACCCAAGGATATTTTTTTATTGATTTTTAGATAGAGTGGAAGGGAAGGAGGGAGGGAGGGAGGGGAGAGGGGAGAGAGAGAGAGAGAGAGAGAGAGAGAGAGAGAGAGACCGACCAATGTGAGAGAGACACATCAATTGGTTGTCTCCCACATGACCCGGGCCAGGAATCAAACCTGCAACCCAGGTACCTGCCCTTGGCTGAGAATTGAACCTGGGACCTTTCGGTCCTCGGGCCAACAATCTAATTAATAAACCAAACCACCCAGGGCAAGAATTACTTCTCTTGATGACTAGTAAGTCCAGCTCTTCTTTATTAGTATAAAGTCAACAAAAGAATCAAAGTTGAGTATTATAAATCAGCTTCATTTATATCAAAATTTATTAACCAGTTCTTCAATTTTGCAGGTGATAATATGTTTAAAAAGATGAAACTACAGCACAGCTGGTGTGGCTCAGTGACTCAGTGTCAACCCATGCACCAAGATGTTGCTGGTTGGATTCCCAGCCAGGGCACATGCCCAGGTTGTAGGCCAGGTCCCCAGTTGGGGGCATGTAGGATGTGGCCAACTGATGTTCTCTCTCACAGATGTTTCTATCTCTCTCTCCCTCTCCTTCTTCTCTCTCCAAAATCAATAAAGAAAACAACAAAAAAACCCTAAATGTAATGGCACAAAAACGAAGATCCAAAGTCAACAAGCAGTATCTACAATTATGTAAAAAAATGAGGTGTTTAACAGCAACATGGTTCACAAACTCTTTGTTCATAGCAGATTAATCTGCTGAAAACAATAATAAATAAGCAAATGGCTTTTGTCCCACCTGAATTTACCCAGTGTACTCAAATGTAAGTGGCTATAAAGAAATAATTTGCTAGGTGCTAAGCATAGCAGAAAATGAACTCCTTCAAATAGGTGTCTAAATCCACTGCTCCTTTACCAACTACTCTAAAAACAAGTACTTGTGAAATACACTGCATTACAATGAGGCTTCCCTACAGAAACAGAATGAAAAAAGGCTTCAATATCAGACTTGTTTTCTTCAGGACCCTTATACATACCATGCTAATGAATCCCTGCAGCTTTATTTACACTTTTCCTCAGCAAATTCCCAGGCCAAGAGTCAAACCCAAATGGCCAGGGGTTGGTTGGGGGAACTCACAGGCATTTGCTTCCAAACTGTCACTACAGATTTCATTCACCAAAACCAGACAGAGCTGTTTAAAGATGCCCTTTCCATGACCCTTCTCTGCTGAAGGTCAAGTACACTATCACTCCCTGTAACTAAGGAAGCAAAATCGACATGTTCCTGCTGTTTCACCAGCTGCTGAAGCAGTCTGTCTAATAATATGATTAATTGCTTCTAGGGAAGATACATTTTGCTTTACAAAGTTCTCCCTTCAGCCTTTGCTAAATGCCCCCCAACCCCTTCCACTTAAAGACCACTTTTTCTGAACTGAGAGCCTACAAGAATGGTACCATGTAGTCCAACCATTCAAAATAGTTTTAAAACTTAAGGGGTAGAGGGAAGATTTGGAGAACTCAGAAATACCACATCCTGCACACATTGTTTTCAACTTCACAGTATATTAAGCCAATATTTTTTAAAGCAAATTCCTTGTTCATTCAAAGGGAAGGCAACAACCTAACAGTCTGTGTTACACATAAAAAACACCCACAAGAATAACAGCACTGGGCTCATTTAACAAACATTTGACTACATCCACTCAGCATGTGAATACAGGTCAGAGTTCTAGCCTCTGTAGCCTCCCATTCTGGCAGGCCAGGATGAGCACAGGCATTTAGTGCAAAGACAGCACTGTAACAGGCCATAGAATGGCTTCAAGTCTAAGCCTCACCCTTCTAGCAAGGCCAGAGAGGAAAGGGAACTCCTGTGGTTACAGTGAATTCAAGGTGGGGCTGGAACTAATACCCAGATTCCCTGGCTGCCAGTCAACAGCACCTGCCAATAAAGCCAACCTGTAGCCTCCTGTCTGACAGGGAGACTCATCTGTTGTTAACACCTGGACAAACAATTAACACTAAGCAAATAATGGTCAGTCACCAAAAAACGAAAGTCTGGGGAAGGGTGGGAAGAAAGTGGTTTTATGTATATTTACTTTTATGTAGGATGGGGGAGTTTAGAGAGGAAGGAAACTAAAATAATAAGTTCTTCACACTGTTACAAGTTTGTATGAGTAGTAACTTAAACAGTCTGAGAGAATATGTCATCCATTTTTCAAATTCTAGCACAAACCTAAACACCCAACCCCAAAGGAAAAAATCAAGAGGAGAAAACGATCATTTTCCTTTTAAAAGGGTGAATACAGCCCCCTCCACCTCAACTATTTCAAGTTCTAAGGAACGTAACCCTCTATTCACTAAGTACAGCCAGTAAATGATGTATAAAAGGAAAGATTAATCCAAGTAAACAAAAGCTTCAAGGTCCAATTGTTGAGGTCAATAGGTCTGCTCCTCTTATCATAAAAATTTGTTCATACCCTATGACCTGTTAATTCTACTTCTGGGAATCCAGCTTACACAAATTATCCTAAATACAGAAATGGCTTTATCAGTTTGTGGTCCTAAATTATTTTTCTAGGGAACATAGAAATTCCCTCTCCCAGGGAATCCATATGAGGCAGAGCCTACTTCTAATTGTAGAAGCAGAAAATGCCAGGTACTTGCAGGTCTGGTGTCCCTTGGAGAGCAGGAGGGCAATCAGCTGCACGAGCCGGAGACTGGCAGCAGGAGTGTCAGCTAGGACAGGGGTCTCAAGGTCTGTGCCATTCTTACTAAATGTTATTTCTCCCTAATGTCAATATGTAGCACAGTATTTTGCAGATGCAACTGTAAACAGGATGAACTGACAGGAATTCAACAGGATAAATGTGGCCAAGAAATCGATCAACATGTAATTAACCAAATAGTGTATATAAGCAATGTCCAAATCTTCCTTCAGGAAGGCAGAGCTTTGGATATGAATCCTGTTTCCTTTACTTGTTAAAGTAAATAAAACTACCTTGCAACAACAACATCTTGTTTTTGAATAGAGTACCCCAAGTGGTGAACCCTTTGATTTCACTTTTTTTTTAATCCTCACCTGAGGACATTTTTTTTTTTTTTGCACTTATCTTCAGATAGAGTAGAAGGGAGAGAGGGGAAAGAGAGAGAGAAACATCGAGTGGTTGCCACCCATACAACCCCAACCGGGGCTGGTGAAAAACTGCAACCGAGGTACATGCCCTTAGTGGGAACTGAACCTGGGATTCTCTGGTCCACAGGCTAATGCTCCCACCACTGAGCCAAACCAGCCAGGACCCTTTGATTTCAGTTAACAAGAGCCCCATGTTTGGACTTGGCAGTGTGGTATGCATCTACAGCTTTACCAGACAGGCACTTCAGTGAGATCTGGGTATAGTTCCTAGCTACAAAGCTATTATTTATCCAGCCCTCCTGCTAACTATCAAGTTGTCCATCCATCCATCTTCACATATATTTTAACTCAAATGTTTTTTTAAGAATCCCATTTCTGTTTAATTTTTTAAAAATATTTTTATTGACTTTTTTAGAGAGAGAAAAAAGGAGGAGGCATTGATGGGCTGCCTCTTACATATGCTCTACTGGGGATCAAGCTAGCAACCTGGGCATGTGCCCTGACTGGAAATCAAACCTGTGACCTTTTAGGTGCACGAGATTGATGCCCCACTGAGCCACATTAGCCAGAGCTAAATATATATATTTTCTAGTTTATTGATTTTAAAGAGAAAAGACGGAGGAAAGAGAGAGGAAAAGGAAACATCGATTTATTGTTCCACATATTTATGCATTCACTGGTTGCTTCTTGTATATGCCCTGTCCGGAGATCTAACCTGAAACCTTGGCATACTGGGACGATGCTCTAACCAACTGAGCTACCAGGCCAGGGCAAGAATCTTATTTCTGTTTAAATCATAAACAGCTGGGTTACAATCAGGCCCTTTGGTCAAGCGTAAGTTTATCAGTGTTAATTTGTAATAGAGAAAGGTCAGAAGCAACTTTAATGTTTCATACTAGGAGGTAGGTTAGTAAATTATATTATGCTCTCTCTCTCTTCTTTTAATCCTCACCCGAAGACATTTTTGCATTTATCTTCAGATAGAGCAGGAAGGAGAGAGGGAGGAAGACAGAGAGAGAAACATCGATGTGAGAGAGACAAATCAACTGGTCGCCACCCACACGACCCCATCAGGGACTAGGGACAAACCACAAACGAGGTACGTGCCGTTAGCGGGAACCAAAGCCAGGACTCTCTGGTCCGCAGGCCGATGCTCTAACCGCTGAACCAAACCAGCCAGGGGTAATATTGTCTCTTGATATAAAATTACGTAGCTATGAAAAAGGATGGCCATGCAGGTTATGGAGAAATCTGTGGAAAAATAATTACATTTATTCTGTGAAATAATGAACACTAAGTTGTATGCACACTATGATTACAATGGGATGATATACCTATGGCAAAAAAGACCAAAACTGAGTATGTTTATTTATTTAGTAAAGAAATCTTAATACTGACTGTTTACTATATTCCAGGCACTATTTTAGACACTGGGAACACAACAGTGAATGAAACAATCCTCCTTTCTTGCAATTTACATTCTAGTGTAATAAATAACAGGTAAATATGTTTGTTAGATCGTGATAAGCATCATGGAGAAAACTAAAAGTAAGGAGAATAAAGACCGAAAGAAGCCCTGGCGATTTTGCTCAGTGGTTAGAGCGTCGGCCCGCAGACCAGAGCAGCGGGTTTGATTTCGGTCAAGGGCACATACCTCAGTTGCGGTTCATCCCTGGCCCTGGTTGGGGTTGGTCGGGAGGCAACCAGTCAATATGTCTCTCTCACATTGATGTTTCTCTCTCTCTCTCCCACTCTATCTGAAGATAAATAGAAAAATATCCTGGGGTGCACCCTGGCCTGTTTGGCTCAGCGGTTAGAGCGTTGGTGCACAGACTGGAAAGTCCCGGGTTCGGTTCCCGCTAAGGGCACATACCTCAGTTGCAGTTTGTCCCTGTCCCAGGTTGGGGTTGTGTGGGTGGCAACCACTCGATGTGTCTCTCTCACATCGATGTTTCTCTCTCTCTCTTCCTCTACTTGAAGATAAATGCAAAAATGTCCTTGGGTGAGGATAAAATATATATATATATATCTCCCCTCAGGTGAGGATTAAAAAAAAAGAGTGAAAGAAGTAGAGGTGGAAATGGTTACTTTACATGGGGAGGTGATAAGGTAATAGCGATAGATCTATTAAAATGGTGGAAATAGGGCTTCTCCTTTTTAAATTTTTCAGAATGTTACATCACTTTTATATAATAATTAAAAAAAATTTTAAATATGTTTTTATTGATTTTTTTCAGAGAGAGAGGAAGGGAGAGAGAGAGATAGAAACATCGATTGAGAGAGAAACATTGACCAGCTGCCTCCTGCATGCCCCATATTGGCGATTCAGCCCACAATCCAGGCATGTACCCTGACTGGGAATTGAACCGGGACCAATCAATCCATGGGACGATGCTCAACCCACTAAGCCACACAGGCAGGGCAATAAATTTTTTTAAATGTTTCCAAAAACAAAGTTACCTTTTAAAACCAGCAAATATCGCTAGAAATTGGTATCATGAGTAATCTTATTTTCAACTCAAGTCTGAAATAATGGGTGTTCCTTATACTTTTCCTCATTTCTAAAAGAAAAATTCCTCTTCTGTCTATCCAAGAAAAAACCTGGAAATCTTTTTTTTTTGTAAGATGAGATAAAACTCTACCGTGAAAAATAATTCTCAGTCTCATTGCCCTCCTTGCTTATTAAAGAAATGCTACTAATGATATTTTAAAAATAGGCTATGTTTCTACAACTACATATCTAAACTGTTAGGTACACTCAGAATGTCAGCTCCTATTTGGGTGGCTTTGGACAAATCCCTTAATTGTTCTAAGCCTCTAATTACTCCTCTGTGAAACTAAAGTTATCTCTTATCTCAAAGCATATTATGATGATTAAATAAGGCAATAAATATAAAGTGCAATGTACAGGGGCTGGCAAAAGTAGGTTTACAGTTGTGAGTATTTGAAACAGTTTATTCTTGTATTAATATTATTAATTATTGTATTATTTGTATTATAATTATAAATCTACTTTTACCCTTCCCTGTATTATTTAAATACAGAGCATTCCTATTATAATTTCCCTGAGGAAATCAAGTATAGTAGTAAACCTATGACCCTGAGTAAAATGTTATTTCTTCCTATAACAGATGTTTAGTTTTTATGTGGGCTTTTTTTTAGGGGGGTGGGGGCAAAATGGTTTTGTTTCTAATTCTCTATTTCCTAAGACCAATCAAAGGATATGGTCTTCAAAGTCTTCTAAATGTATCAGGCAGGCCCTGCCTGGCTGGTGTGGCTCAGTGTTTAGAGTATCGGCCCATATACTGAAGGGTCGTGGGTTCGATTCTCGGTCAAGGGCATGTACCTGTGTTGCAGGTTTGATCCCTGGCCCTGGTCAGAGCAAGTGTGGGAGGCAATTAATCAACAAATCTCTCTCACATCAATGTTTCTGTGTCTCTCCCCTCTCTCCGTCCCTCACTTCTACTCTCTCTAAAAATCAATAGAAAAAAATATCCTTGGGTAAGGATTAACAAAAAAACTATCAGTCACTAAAGGTATGTATCTCAAATTAAGTGAGATTTTTTTGTTGTTAATTCTCACTTGAAGATATTTTTCCACTGATTCTGAGAGAGAGTAGAAAGGAGGGAGGAAGGGAGAAAAGAAGGGAAGGAGGGAGAGAAAGAGAAAGAAAGAGAGAGAGAGAGAGAGAGAGAGAGACATCAATGTGAGAGAGACACAGCGATTGGTTGCCACTCGCACAACCCCAATTGGGACCAGGGATCAAAGCTGCAACCCATGATCGTACCCATGATCCTTTAGCCCTCAGATTGATGCTCCAACTGCTGAGCCAAACCAGCCAGGGCTGCAGTGAGATTTTTAAGATGTTTTTCTGTGACAGATCATCACTATTCTGTCCCAAGATATACCATAGGAAATTATTTTGGTAAAGCCCTTTAACAAGGACATCACATTTCCTCATTTTCTCCTTTTTGATAATTCCTCTTGTGAACTCTTTTTTTTCTTATCATGTTACAAATAAGTCTAGTCTTACCTATTCTAACACTAATTTTATTCCAGTTCCACTTTTTATATTTCATCAACAAAATAACTTCATCTTCTTACTACTCTTTTGTTTGTTTTCATCCTCAACCAAGGACATTCTTCCATTTTTTGTATAGATGAGTGGCAGGGAGAGAGAGAGAGAGAAACATCGACGTGAAAGGGACACATCGAGTGGCTGCCACCCACACGACCAACCAGGGCCGGGACAAACTGCAACCGAGGTACATGCCCTTAGCGGGAACCAAACCTGGGTCTCTCTGGACCGCAGGCCGATGCTCTAACCGCAGAGCCAAACCAGCCAGGGCTTCTTACTACTCTTAAAGTCATAGCTTATTTAAGTATGTACAATCATCTGACTTTTCCATTGTATTTTCTATGAGAGCTGTTTCTGATCATTTACATAAATACACATTACTTTATAATAAACTGCTTTCCTTTTATTTCTCCTGCATATAGTTATTGTACTATATTGACTTTTAGAACTTATTTGTGTTTGAATGGTTATATTTCCCAAGAACACTATTTTGGTGTAGTGAAAGGGTCATTAGAAAATACTACAGCCAGGCCAGTATGGCTCAGTGGTTGAGCACTGACGCAAGCACCAGGAGGTCACCGGTTCGAGTCCCGGTCAGGGCACATGCCCAGGTTGTAGGCCAAATCCCCAGTGCAGGGCATGCAGGAGGCGGCCAATCGACGTTCTCGCTCATCGATGTTTCTATCTCTCTCTCCTTCTCCCTTCCTTTCTCTCTCTAAAATCAATAAAGAAAAAATAAATAAAAAATACTACAATAGCCTAGCTGGTTTGACTCAGTGGTTAGAGCATCAGCCCACAGACCAAAGAGTCGTGGGTTCAAGTCCAGTCAAAGACACGTGCCTTGGTTGCAGTTTGGTCCCCAGCCCTGGTTGGGGTCATGTGGGAGGCAACCAATCGATGTGTCTCTCTCACATTGGTGTTTCTCTCTCTTTCTCTCTCTGTCTCCCCCTCCCTCCCATTTAAATGGAAAAATATCCTCGGGTGAGGATTTAAAAAAATTAAAAATACTGCAATAGCCCTGGCCAGTTTGGCTTAGCAATAAGAGGTTGGCCTGTGGATCAAAGGGTTGTGGGTTCAATTCCCAGTTAAGGCACATACCTGAATTGCAGGTTTGAACCCTGGCCCTGGTCAGGGTCATGCAGAAGGCAACCGATTGATGTCTCTCTTACATCGATGTTTCTTTCTCTCTCCCTCCCTTCCATTCTATCTAAAAAATCAATGGAAAAATATCCTCAGGTAAGTAATAATAACAAAATAATACAAAGTAATAATAACAACAAAATAAAACAATAAAAAGGAGGCACTGGTTCCAAAGGAACTGAAACCCCTAAAAGGGTCACAAAAGCCGTGGCCAGTTTGGTTCAGAGGTTAGAGCGTCAGCCTGCAGTCCAGAGAGACCTGGGTTCGGTTCCAGCTAAGGGCATGTACCTCGGTTGCAGTTTGTCCCCGGCCCTGGTTGGTCATGCGGGTGGCAGCCACTCGATGTGTCCCTTTCACGTCGATGTTTTTCTCTCTCTCTCTCTTCCTCTCTCTCCCTCCCACTCTATCTGAACAAAAAATGGAAAAATGTCCTCGGGTGAGGATTAAAAAAAAAAAGGGTCACACAATATGTACGCAATAAATGCTTGCTGAATAAACCATTGACCTCATCAACGGTCCAGCTACTTCTTGCATATAAGGCTGTATGATTGCTAAAAAATCCATTAAAAAGATAAAAAGCAAAACTTTGAAAGATAAAATTCAACCCAGATAGCTTTTTATTCAGCAATTCTACTTATAGTCTAGAGAAATATTCTCACATATAAGCCCAAGGAGTCATCATATACAAAGATGTTTGTTGTAAATAAAAAAAAAAAAAAAAAAAAACCCAAAGATGTTTGTTGTAGCACTATTTATGTTCAAGAAAGTTTAGAATAAACTTAAACGTGCTTCTATAGTAAAGTGGCTAAATAAATATACCTCCAATCTACGTAATACTATATTATAGTAAAAATAACTTTGTATAGTGTGATTCCATTTACATTAAATTTTAAAACGTATATTTTTCTATACTTACATAAACATGAACATAAATACTTAGGAAAGCAACACACCAAACTAAAAGTAAACAAATTTCAAAGAATTGGTATCATACAAACCAGATTTTCTGATTATACTGTGATTAAGTTAAAAAACAAAAAGAGAATTATAAAGGTAAAACCTGGAGTTATAAAACTTCCAGAGAAAACACAGGAGAAAATCTTTGTGACATTAGGTTATGTAAAGATTTAAAAATATGACATCAAAAGTATGATTCAGAAAATAGAAAACTGATAGACTTCATCAAAGTTAAAAAAAAAAATGCTCTTCAAAAGATACTGTTAAGAGGAGGAAAAGATAGGTCTCAGGCTGGGAGGAAATATTTGGAAACCATGTATCTGATAAAGGACACCTATCCAGAATATATAAATAACTCAAAATTCAATGAAAGCAAACAACTCAATTTAAAAAATAGGCAAATTGTTTAACAGACACTTCATGAAAGATGATATACATGGATGGCAAATAAGCATATATAAAGATGCTCAACATCATCAGTCATTAGAGAAATGCAAATTAAAACCACAATGAAGCCCAACCAGTGTGGCTCAATCCCATGGATTGAGCACTGTCCCATGGACTGAGAAGTCCTGGTTTGATTCCCAGTCAGGGCACATGCCTGGGTTGTGGGTTCGATCTCCAGTGGAGAATGTGCAGGAGGCAGCCGATCGATGTCTCTGTCTCACATTGATGTTTCTCTCTCTCTCTCTCTCTCTCTCCCCCAAAAAAAAAATCAATAAAAACATATTTAAAAAAATAAAAAAACTGATCACATCAAGGACACAGAGCAACTAGAGCTTCTGTACACTGCTGGTAGAAATATATATAACTTTGAAAAACTTTCTGGCAGTTTCTTAAAAATTACCATGTGACCCAGCAAATCCACACCTAGGGTATCTACCCAAGAGAAATAAAAGTATGTATTCTCACAAACACTTACGCAATGTTCATAGCGTCTTTAGTTGTAATAGTAAAATAAAAATGACCAAGTGTCCATCAATGGGAAAATGGATATAAAAGAAATTGTATATCCATACAATCGATTACTACCATAAAAAGGAAATGAACTACTGACACATACAATAACATGGATGAGTCACGTTATTGACAAAATAATTATATGCTATAATTATAGCAAAATAATTATGCTAAATGAAAGAAGCCAGACTAAAAAGGGGTATATAATGTATGATTCCTTTCATAGAAAATGCAAAATAAACTAAAATGATAGGAAGATAACCACTGGTGGCTAAAGCTATACTCAGAAGACAATATATGGTCGTCAAATGCTTATATTAGAAAAAAAGAAAGGCTGTAAAATCAACAAGTTAAGATCCATCCTAAGAATTTAGAAAAAGTATACCAAGATAAGTGTCAAGAAAGTAGAAGAAAAAATAAACACAGAAATTAATTGGAGATAAGACAACTCTGATGAAACTAATCTAGGGAAAAAAGAGATGACAAATATTAGGAATGAAAAGAGGCTATAACTAGAGATGTTTAAGCATTAAAAAATAAAGTTATTCTGAAAGTTATACACCAATATATTAAAAAATTTGGGCAAAACAGATAAATTCTTAGAAAAAAGTGTAACATTAAAACAGTCAATTGCAAATAAAATATCTGACTAGTCCTTTAACTATTAAAAAAATTAAATCAGTAGCCCTGGCCGGTTTGGCTCAGCGGTTAGAGCGTCGGCCTGCAGTCCAGAGAGACCCAGGTTCGGTTCCTGCTAAAGGCATGTACCTCAGTTGCAGTTTGGCCCTGGCCCTGGTTGGGTTGTGAGGGTGGCAACCACTTGATGTGTCCCTTTCACATCGATGTCTCTCCCCCCCCCCCCATTTGAACAAAATATAAAAAAAAAATTAAATCAGTAGTTAAAAATTTTTCTGAGCCCAAATAGTTTTACTCGTGAGTTCTACAAGCATGCAAGGACCAAATAATTCCAATTAATATAAATCACTACAGAAAGTCACAAAGGCAGGAACCTTCTCCCAATTCATTTTATAAAGCTAGTATAATATTGATACCAAAACATAAAAAAAAATTAAAAGTAAACAAAACAAAATGACAAAAAAAATTAAGTCAATCTTACGCATGAACAGATGAAAAATTCCTAAACAAAATGTTAGCAAGCTGAATTCTAAAATGTGTGTGTATAAATCATGATTGTTAAGATTAACCCCAGAACAAGAGGTATTTAACATTACAAAATCAATTTAATGTACATTAACTGATCAAAAGAGAGAAATTATATACGATCATCTCAGCAGATGCTCAGTTTGATAAAATCCAGCATCTACTGAATAAAACAACTTTTCTTTGAACTAGGAAAAGAATAAAGGCTAATATCAAAATCTAACAGTGAATACCTAATAGTGAATTGTTGAAAGCATTCCTTCTAAGGTGACAAAAACCACAGCTTTAAAATGAACAACAATAAAAATACTGGCAACAAGGCATATATCTCTCAGGTAACCGAAGAATTCTTGCCTGGAAAAACGTAATGGCTCCAGAAAAGAAACATCTAGATAGTGACATCTCGGGAAGACCCAAACAAAATGTGTGGGTGCTTATGTAGTCACCTCAAATTAAAGTCATACCAAACTAGCTGACAAGTCTTACTCATGTACAAAAAACTTTTTTTTTGTTTTCAGTTTTAAGTGCTTCATTCTTAAAATGTGAACCAACAACAAATAGATCATTAGCCATTTGAGGAAAAGCTTCCATCTGAAAGAAACTAAAAGACATTTGAATAAAACAGCAATTATGTAAGAAGCAAAGGAAAATGAAAAAGAGCAACCTCTCCCCCACCCAATACCTGCAGTGAACATCCTCACAGAAATAGGACAAGCTATTCATCCATCAGACAAAAAAATCTGTCATATGGTTCCAGCTGGTTGGTTCTCCCACTGCCCCAGCAACTGGTTTGGGCAGCACCAGCCTCCAGGTAGGCTCCCTCACCCTGCCCCCGCGCTGACCCTTGTCCATGCCACCACCATGCCCAATGGAAAGTCAGCTCCGAGGAAGGAGCAGGGGCGGAGAAGCCCAAGAGATCAGTGAGAATGTCAGCTAAACCTGCTCATGCCAAAGTGGAAACAAGCCAAAAAAAAAAAAAAAAGCAGCAGAAAAGGATAACTTCAGACAAAAAAGTACAAATAAAAGGGAAAAGGGGAGCCAAAGCAGCTAAACAAGAAACTAAAAGTTTACCTTCAGAAAACGAAGGAACTAAAAACAAGGCAAGTCCAGCCTCTGATGAAGCAGGAGAGAAAGAAGGCATGTCTGATTAGTAACACACACCCGTTCTTTTCAGTGGTCTTTTTCTCCTTTCTTATTACACGGAGAGGGATATTTTTATAAATTATTCTGTTGCAAATTTTTTAGTAGCTCTAGAAACACTTTTAAGAATGGGAGAACAGCCCAGCCGTTGTGGTTCAGTGGTTGAGCATTAACCCACGCACTAGGAGGTCACTGGTTCAGTTCCCGGTGGGGGCACATGCCCCTGTTGTGGGCCTGGTCCCCAGTGGGGGGGGGGGGCATGCAGGAGGTGGCCAATCAATGTTCTTTCTCATTGATGTTTCTAACTCTCCCTCTCCCTAAAACTCAATAAAGAAGAAGAAAAAAAAAGAATGAGGGAATATCACCTTAATCCATTTTGGAAGTGTAAAAAAATATTTTTGAGATTGAAATCATTTGCTGATTGTTTACTTTTTTTTTTTTTTTTTTTTAATCCTCACCCGAGGACATTTCTCCATTTTTTGTACAGATAGAGTGGGAGGGAGAGAGAGGAAGAGAGAGAGAGAGAGAAACATCGATGTGAAAGGGACACATCGAGTGGCTGCCACCCGCACGACCAACCAGGGCCGGGGACAAACTGCAACCGAAGTACGTGCCCTTAGCGGGAACCGAACCCGGGTCTCTCCGGACCACAGGCCGACGCTCTAACCACTGAGCCAAACCGGCCAGGGCTGATTGTTTACTTTTTGGTACAACCAAAAAACAGTGGGATATTGAATGTAGGAGTTTTGATGGCCTTGAATGTCAGCTTAACATTTCATAGATGAGAGTAGTTTTTATATGCTATTATACAAAGCATACACTAAATGGCAATTTGAAGTTACAGTCATGCATTTAACATGCCTTGAACATTTTAAATTACTTCTATTCCATATATTTTAGTAGAATTGTTTTCTGAAGAAAACTATTCCTTGATCTTGGTTGGCTCTTCCTGTCAGAATTGCGTGTATTCTGTTACATCTCTGGGTGGTGCTAGTCCAATTTTCCTAGTAACTTTGTTAATGTGCTTGTAACAGGTTGAAATTTTGAGTACACATGATATTAAATGGTAAATTAGTGGGACTTACGATGGAACAGCTTATCAACATTTGAAGATACTAGTACTTGATATTCTCTGAAGGAGAAATTGCTTCCACATTTTAAGCTGGAATAAGTGTTTAGAAAAAAATTGCAACTTATATGGCATTTAGATATTTAGACTTGTGCGCAAACTGAAAAATGTCTATATATGGTTTGTTAAAACATTTCTATGGATTCTACTAAAATTTCAATTATTACAGAAACATTTTTGTCTGGCTGGTGTGGCTTAGTGGTTGAGCATCGACCCATGCAACAAGAAGTCTCCAGTTCAATTCTCAGTCAGAGCACATGCCCAGGGTTGTGGGCCAAATCCCCAGAGAGGGGGCATGTAGGAGGCGGCGAATCAGTGGTCTTTCTCATCGATGTTTCTATTTCTCTCTCCCTTCCTCTCTCTAAAATCAATTAAGAAAAAAAAGAAAAGAAACATTTATAAAGTTGCTGTAAGAGAGAAAAATGGATTCTTTTTGCCACAATGTATTATTTGTTATATCATGCTTTAGGTGCATTAATTCATTTAATTCTCACAATAATCCTCTGAGATAAGTACAATCATTCCCCATTTGACAGCTGGAGAAACTGGCACAGCAAGGTTAAATAACACTCAAGCAAATGCTGAAGAGAGATCTAAATCAGGAAATCTCCCTAAAAATAGAAGCAGTAGACAAGAGTTGGAAATTGCAGAGGAAAGATGAGGAAGTGAAAGTATTATTTCAAGAGATCCAGCATCCAGTCAATTAGGAGTTCTGGAGAGACTAGAAAAATATCGAGGGAAGGAATTATCAGAGAACCAGTACAGAACAATTTCCTAGAAAAGGAGGACCATGAGTTTCTAGACTGAAAGGACCCATTGAGTGCCTAGTACAATTTATGAAAAAAATAAGTACACTAAGAGACATTACTGTGAAATTTCAGAACAAAAGGGATGAAGAAAAGATCTTAACAATGGGATAGGGAGATAAAGGTATTAGAGAATGAAAGATCCACGAAACACACAGGACCTACAAGGGATACACGAAACACACAGGACCTACAAGGATCGCGAATATGAATGGCCTTCTCTAAAGCAACACTCAAAGCTGGAAAACAATAAAAAGATGTCACAATATTGGAGTTAAAATTATTTTCGACTTAGAGTTCTATTCCCAGGCAAACTATCAATCAGGCATATATATCAGTGTAGATAGAGACATATTTAGACATATAAAATTTAAAAACAATTCACTTCTAGCACTGGCCAGTTTGGGTCAGCAGTTAGAGCGTCGGCCTGTAGACCAATGAGTCACGGGTTTGATTCTGTACCTTGGTTGCAGTTCATCCCGGGCCCTGGTTGGGGTTGTGAGGGAAGCAAACAGTTGATGTGTCTCTCTCACATCGATGTTTCTCTCTCTCCCTCCCTCCCTCCCCCTCTATCTGAAGATAAATGGAAAAATGTCTTCAGGTGAGGATTAAAAAAACAAATAAATAAAATAAAAACAATTCACCTCTAATGCAGACTTCCCTAGGAAGTTATTGGAGCATGTTATTTCCATTTTTTAAAAAAGGAAAAAACACGGACTCAAGGATTAACAAAAGCAGTCCAACATAAGAGAGAAATAAAAGATGACAGTTATGGAGCACGCTGGAAAGGCAATTTAGAAAGGACTATACCAGGAGAGCAGAAAGTCAGAGGGCTTTTAGAAAGAATGTTTTCTCAGGGGGGGAAGTATCTAAAAATTTCTCTGATGTATTTGCATGGGAAACTACTTTGGAGTCAGTAGGAAGTATTTGTGTTAGTGTCATAATTAGGTCACAGAACATTAATTTATGCAAAGAGGACCTAATTTTACTGGGAAAACAAAGGGAAGAGATATGGGAGTGTAAGGCACTCAATGAAAACTAAAATTCTTTTTCCATAATGGTAAGGGAAAAAAAGTCTAATTCCCAAAATGAAAACAGAAACATTATTACTTATTTTGCAGAAATAAAAAGAATTATAAGAGAGTATGATAAACAACTGTATGCCAACAAATTAGATAACCTAGATGAAATGGACACATTCCTACAAACATGCAACCACCAAGACTGAATCATTAAGAAATAGAACTTATAAAACTCAACACCAAAAAAAAAAAGACAATCCAATTAAAAATGGGCAAAGGATCTGAATAGACACTTTTCCAAAGAGGACGTATAGATGGCCAACAGACATATGGAAAGATGCTCAATGTCAATAATCATCAGAGAAATGCAAATTAAACCACAATGAGATGTCACTTCATACCTATCAGAATGATTCTCATCAATAAATCAACAATCAGCCCTGACTGGTTTGGTTCAGCAGTTGGAGTGTCGGCCTGCGGTCCAGAGAGATCCGGGTTTGGTTCCCGCTAAGGGCATGTACCGAGGTTGCAGTTTGTACCTGGTCCTGGTTGAGTTGTGTAGGAGGCAGCCACTCGATGTGTCCCTTTCACGTTGATGCTTCTTTCTCTCTCCCTCCCACTCTATCTGAACAAAAAATGGAAAAATGTCCTCAGGTAAGGATAAAAAAAAACAAACAATAATCAAGTATTGGCTAGAATGTGGAGAAAAGGGAACCCTTATGCACTAATGGTGGGAATGCAGATTGGTGCAACCACTATGAAAAGCAGTATGGAGTTACTTCAAAAAATTAAAAATGAAATTGCCTTATGAACCAGCAACTCTGCTTCTGGGAATTTATCTGAAGAAATATGAAACACCAATTCAAAAGAATATATGCACCTCCATGTTCATTGCAGCATTATTTACAATAACCAAGGTCTGGAAGCAGCCCGAGTGTCCATCAGTAGATGAATTGACAAAAGAACTATGGTACATTTACACAAAGAAATACTACTTGGCTTTAAAAAAGAAGAACATTTTTTCCTTTGCAACAGCATGGATGGACCTGGAGAACATTATGCTAAGTGAAATAAGCCAGAGAAAGACAAGTATCATATGATTTCATTCACATGTGGAATTTAATGAATAAACTGACCTAACAAGAAAAATAGAGACAGATTCATAGAAAGTAGGCAGTCAGTCAGCTCAGGGTAGAGGATGGGGTTGTTGGGGGAGGGGGGTAGGTAGAGGGATTGAGCAAAAAAGAGAAAAAGAACTCATGGACATGGATAACAGTGTGGTGATTATTGCTGGGGGGAGAGGGGGTAGTAGGAGGTGGGAGAGGGCATAGTGGGGATAAATGATGATGGGAAAAAAAACATAATAAAAAAATCAACTAAAAAAAAAGAAAAGAAAAGAAAAATTGGAATAGACCTATAACTAACTAGTAAGAGGATTTGAATTGGTATAGCCCCCTACCTCAACACCAAAAAGTCCAGGATCAGGCCTGGTAAATTTTACCAAACATTTAAAGAAGAATTAACACCAATCCTTCTCAAACTCTTCCCCCAAAATGAAAAGGGAACACTCCCAAACTTATTCTATACAGCCAGCATTCCCTGATGACACCAGAGTCAGGCACATAGACCAATATTTCTTAAGAACACCAATGCAAAATTCCTCAACAAATACCAGCACACTGAGCCCTGGTTGGTTTGGCTCAGCAGTTAGTGTCGGCCTGGGGACCAAAGAGTCGTGGGTTTGATTACAGTCAAGGGCATGTACCTTGGTTGCAGTTTGGTCCCCGGCCTTGTCGGGGTTGTGCGGGAGGCAACCAACAGATGTGTCTCTCTTACATCGATGTCCACCGCCCCCCACTCTACCTGAAGATAAATGGAAAAATATCCTCGGGTGAGGATTAAAAACAAAAAAATCTAGCAAACTGATATTGGTAGCATATTCAAAAGATTATATACCATGACCACATGGGATTTAGTCCTGGAATGTAATGAGTTCAACATACAAAAATCTACCAATGTAACAGACTACATTACCAGAAAAAAGAAAAAATCCC